CACCCGTCCCTTCATCGCCCTCCTGCGTTCCACCAACCACACCACCGCCAGCTGCTGCGGCTGGGGCGCCCACGCTCAGGTCCGTGTGAGCCAGCGATGCCACGTGCAGCGGAAGGCCTGGCGAAGCATCGGGAGCCGTGTCTCGCGCGGCCTCGCCTACAGCAGTCTCATTGCGATCGCCGTCCCGACCAGCACCACGACCCTCACCGCCATTCGGCACCACCTGTGTCACTTGGCCCTCTCGCTCCCTCGCCTCGCCGATGAACCCCTCCTCTCCCACGTTATGGCGCCCCGCCGGCTGACCCGGGTTAACCGCTCGACCGCCACCTGGGTGGAAGTTGCGCTTGTCATGCATCATCAGCCCGGCCGGGCCTCGGTTAAGTACATTGAGATCACCGAAAGCCACCGGCTGTTTCTTGATGTGGTTGAGCAGTGAAGGGCGCTCCGGGAGAGCAGCCAGCTCTCCGTCAGGTGGCGGCGGGAATGTGGGAAGGACGGACGGTTCGGCGACGGGCAGGGCGGTGATGGCTGCCTCTTGTGGGACCTCCTGTGCCGAGAGGATCTGTGAGTCAGACTGTGACCTCATGGCGCGGCTGTGGTCGAGCTGCTCCTGGCACTGCACCTGCTCCAGCTTCACCTTGAGGTCATTCACCAGCTCCTGGAGCTCCTTCTTTTCCTCCTTGAGCGTTTCATTCTTCATCCGCAGATCCTTATTCTCGTCGCTGAACCAAAGCAAGGGAAAGTGACACCGGGAGGGAACGAAGGCAAGGATGGGCTCAGGCGCGCAGGGTTGTGTTGGGCTGGTCATTCACTCACTGTAGTTCGATGCCTTTGTCGAAAAGGAAGACCGCCTCCCCTCTCTGGGACAGCCAGTCGCGCATGGGGATCTGCTTCACATCTCCGTTCAACTTTTCATTCAGCGTCTTTACGTCGGCCATGTTTTGGGCTGCATGAATGGACACATACGAGACACAAAAGGGAGGAAAGATGGGTGGGGTAGGCAGACGCCAGGAGAGCGCTCGCACGTACGTGGTGTCTCGCCCGCCTCTCTCAGGAAATCGACCTCAGGAATGTCTACCAATTCTGCACAAAGAGAAAGAAGGATGCGTATGTGTGCGTCTGCGTGGCTATCTGTGTGGGGGCCCTGTGAAGGGACATACGTGTTCTCCCCCCCTCAAACCCCTCGAGCTCATCCGTATCGAAAAGATCCTCAGCTGCTTTACCGTACCGCTATAAGACACAGGAAAGGCAAGGCACAAGACACACACGCACACACCCAAAATACATGGCTGTGCTCTCGCCGGCCCGTGCAGGTGTGTGTGTACCTCTCCAAGGATGCGCTCGAATTCCTTGGAAGCCCTATAGCATTTGTCCAGCAGGGCCTCGAGCTGGGTGACACCGAGTTGGGCGTACAGCTGGTCCCAGTCGAGCAGGTGACGGCACCGCGCCTTCTCCTCAAGGGTGATCGCTGCCGCTTCGTCTTCCTCCCCCTCCAGCCCACCGTCATCTCCCCCCTCGTGCTGATCCTCCTCGTCTATCATCTCCTCCTGCACTCCGTGCTGATCCTCCTCGTCTATCGTCTGATCCTCGTGCTGATCCTCCTCGTCTTTCGTCTCCTCCTCCACCCCGTTCGTCATCCCAACACCATGACCGTTGTCAGCCCGATCGTGGCCCACGGTATCGTTGGTCATCCGAGCCTCCCCGCGCCCCTCTTGCCCATCCTCTGGACCCACCCCCTCTCCATCACCCTCTCCCTCTCCGTCTCCGTCCATCCCGCTCTCACCATCACCCTCGCTGTGGCCATTCACCATCTCCTCCTGGGCGTTGGCATCGGCGTGTTGCCGCCTGGCGGCCTCCCGCTTGGCGGCCTCCCGCTTGGCGGCTTCCTGCCTGGCGATATTCCGCTTTTCTGACTCGGTGAGGGGGAAGTCGTCCATGAAGTCTGGGTCCCGGAGCCTGTGGAGCATGCTGAGAAAATTCCACCCAGAGGGAGGTGGCGGGACGGGTGGGCATGGCACACGAGGGCATAGCACACGAGGGCCAGGCGATGGTGTCTCGGTTGTCGGTGCGATGGTGCTGGCGGGGTCCGCGCCCTCGAGGTGCTGGGCCAGCTTGTCTTCGGGCATAGGGAATCCATGGTTGATGAGTTCGTTCAAAATGCGGAAACGAAGAGGGTCTCCGAACATGCGCAGATGACTGATGAGCTGGCACCACATGTGCTCACGGTGCCGGTCGTTAACCTGCAGCAAAGTGCATGACAAAGACGAGTCCGTCAAGGGCATGTGGCGTCGATGCGGCCATGGAAGCTTACACGTCGAATGCTCTGCGTCACCGCCAACATGGATCGGACCCGACGTCGAATGTGGGCTGTCTGCAGCGAGAATACCAGTGCAAATGAGGGCCTCTGCCGACGTTCCTCCTTTCCTTTCGCCAGCCTCACCCATATCTTCATGTCCTGCAACATTTTCCTCTCGCGCTCGGGCAATTCCAGCAAACGAACCTGTGATATGCATCGAATCGGATGGGCTCTTTCTCTGTCTCCCTCCCCCTCCCTCCTGCGCTGCTAATGCGTGTCTTACTGGCTTGGTCCTCTCCAAATCGTTGTCTTCAGACCCTTGGCCTTGATCCGGCTCACGCCTTGCTTCACGCCGACGGGCCGGGCCCGGGGTAGGTTCTAGGTCCACGGGTCTGCGCTCGTTGATGGTGTCCATCATTACTGCGATGCGACAATCGTTGCAACGTTGACAGCAGAATGTACAACCCCCAGAGTGTTTAGAGCGCATGCATGTGTTTAACGGTCGGTTTTTTGGCCAAGTTCAGTAGATTGTCTGTGGCCTCCGTCCCTATCTCCTAGGGTGCTCCCTGAAACCTCCCCTTCCAGCCCACGCTGCCCACACGGCAGCAACAATCCTGCATGCCTGCATGTACAGTACAATGCCACCATACACACGTCATGCCGCCGCTCTCAGTCCAGCTCTCCTCCTATGTGTGTATCAAGTATCAATCAACCACCGCCTATCCGTCCCGTCCGTCCCATCTTCGAAAGCGCAGCCACCAGCACAGCATACATGTAGGCATGGCATGGCATGCCATGCCATGGCATGCCATGGCATTGCACGACGACACGGCACGAGGCACGCCACCAGCTGGACTGGAGGGACACTGACTCAACGACCGCCACACGCTCACTCACACACATGAATGAATGCCATTGCCGACACGAAAAAAAGAGGGCAGTGAAAGAATACGCAGTGACATGGGCGACGATACAAATACCGTGGCAGACAGACGAGACACGGACGGCCAGACAGACAGACAGGCAGACAGGCAGACAGGCAGACAGGCAGACAGGCAGACAGGCAGACAGGCAGGCATGTCGTGCGTGTCAACTGTCAGCCTTCGCACCAGCCCGCCATGCGAAACACACATTGTCAAACAAGTAGGCCGTACTTAGGACGGTCCAGCCGGGACAGGCAGCCCTCGCTGATGTGTATGAAGAGACATTCGAGAAGGCCCGGTCAGACAATGGGGTCAATCCAGTTGGGATCAACAGCAGTGGCCGAGTCCGGCTGTGTCGTGGCCGAGTCGGGGCTGCGGATGGGCATGTCGGGTATCAGAATGAAGACCAGTGGGATGGCGGTTGCAGGCAGAATGATATGGGCCACCAGCACCAGATAGGTGAGATTGCGGAAGTTGCACGTGCTGTCGGCCTCGTTGCCCGTCTGGATGGCGAAGGCCTCGATCAGCCACACACCAAAGGCCCGGGAGGCATTCATGCCGAAGTTCATGAATGATTGCAGGACCGCGTATGACGTCGTGGCGCTGAGACAAAACGAGAGAAGAGACATCACCGAACAATGCCATCTTCTCCTGTTGATGTGACTTACGCGAGCGGCGATGTGAGCTTGGAAAGGAGCAGGATAGCAGGCATCAGATCCAACATTTGGGTCAGGTTCAGCAGCATCGCATCACCACTAAACGAGGCAGTCCATATGGAGGCCACACATACATGTCTCTATCCTTGGTTTGGCTCACAGGATGAATGCGGCCTTGTCGGGCAGGCCGATCTTCAAATTGACGCGCTCAATGATGATCAGATCCACACACGACACCATGATGCGCACTAAGGTCGTGATCCAAAACGCCGAGCGAAAGCGCCATTTGGTGATGACAGTCTGGAAGATGAGGAGCGCCAATGCTGACGCCAGCGCCCCCACCAGTTGCGAGACTGTCTGGTAGTAGGTGAAGTCGAAGTTAGGTCCATTCGGGACGCACGAGGGCCCCGCTGTGTACCAGAAGTCAATCGCTCCAGGAATTTGAACATACAGCGCGACTAACGAGACAAAAGCAGATGCAGCAGGTATTGTGTCTCGTTTCTCATATCTTGTGTCTCCTCTGTCGCTCTCCGCTCTCTGACCAGACAAGAAAAAGTAGAGCTTGGATGCGGCCTGTGCCGAGCTGAGTAGGGCGAAGGCGATGACGCTGACGATGATCGCCACGATGGCCGAATAGATCAGCTGCACCATGGGAGACGAAAATGCACCTACAAGAGACGAACAAACAGATCATGCAACACGCCTCGCCCATGGCCCATGGAAAGGTTTCCTCGTACCAACGATGGCCAGCCCCAGAGCAGCCACACCACTGATCGCCCCCATAAGAAAGGTCTTCCATTCGGCCCTCAACTTCGCCACCTGACGTGTCCAGCCATCCAGCGTGTCATGAGCTTGTGTGCTGATATGCAGACATACCTGTATGCGGCTGCCATGTGGCGGGGGTATTCTCTCTTCGGGCAGCCACCCCTTGAGGACAGGATAGACGGACTGCAGCGACATTGGCAGACACAGCCAAAACACCAAATCCGGCCCTAAAAACATGAATTGGTGGCAGACAAAACACAGTGCCACAAGGCCCGCTGTTGCCATTCCTTTGAAGGTGACGTACCGACGTTGTCGCTGATCGGCCCGACCGATGCGCTTGCGATGATAACACCACACGTAGCGAGGCCCCACACATAGGTGACAATCTCAGGCCTGCGCAGCGACACGCATAGCCAGTGCGTCCATGCCTGTGTCTCCCTGTCTGTGTGTCACCCTTCACCCGTCCACTTACCCGTGGTCGGGTCTGAGTGCCATCATTTCGGTGTACTTGCCGTCAGTCAGCATGTCTTGCAGGGCACACTGAATCTGACTGAAGAAGAAAAACGCCCCCACCGCCCACACGTGACGCTTGGCGCCTGCAAACAGACAAACATACATACCGCAATATGAATGTTTGTTGGGAGGGACCACATGGTGGAGGCGCTTTGTGTTCCGCTTCCACTCACTGTCGTGCGACATGGTAGCGAGTCCGAGTAGGCCGATGACCCCAAAAATATTCGAGATGAACATGTACCACTTGCCGTGGTAGCCGCCTATGGGGAGGATGTCAGTCAAGGCACCGAACAGACCTGAACAAAGGAAGACACGTCGACTGCCGACTCTGCTGTGCCCCTTCCATCCTCCCTTTCTCTCTCTCGACTGGCTGACCCTTCATGGCCCACGGGGTCCAACTTATGGTCATATTGGTCTGGTACTGCACTCCATCGAGCTTCAACTCTCTGAAGTAAGGCAGCTGCACCGTCTTGAGGTAGTGGTACATGACGCCTTTGACCCCGAAATGGATGGACGCCAGAATCCTGCGAACCACACCAAGTCACGCCATCCCTCCCTCACCTTCGCTTCCCCCACAAGACCTCTCTCGTCGCTTCGCTTACCGCAGGAAGTCCCGTCCATACTGATCTTCAAGTTTTTGATAGAAGGACCTGCCCGGCGTCCCGAAGCTCCAGCCGTGCTTGAGTAGACGGAGTTTGCTGTCGCGCCGAGGGAGATGCGATGTGGCGGTGGTGTCGAAGGCCGGTGACGGGACCGAATCGGCTGACGGGAGCGGGGGAGTGCCACGCGGGGTGCCCACCAGCTCGGGGTCAGGCGCACTGGGGCTCTCCGTCTCGTCTGACGACATTCTCTTTCGAGGAACGACCAGTGCTGTCGATTTACAAAGTGCCAGTGCGAGCTGAAAAAACGCGGAGATCTGTGGGAGCTGAGGTCCCGAGAGAGACACAGGAGGTGTGCCGGATACATAGCCACAAGTTAGTCCCGCTTGAAGCAAAGAAGCACAGACAGCCACTCAGACGTCAACGTGGAGCACTCCACTCCCCGTAGTCTCTCCCCGCCCCGCCCGTCCCTCTCAGCATATGAACACTATGAACTCCTATCTATCTACAGAGCAATACCAGACAAAACATCCAGACATCCACCTGCCCATCTTGACAAACAAGACTCGGCGCACTGCAGTCTCCTTCAAAAACCAAAACAAAACCACCAGCCCACCACACACACACAGGCACTGCACTGCACTGCACACGTGGTCTCACAATCAGGCGCCCATCTGACTCCCCTCCAGCCCTTTCCCGTCGGCATCCTTGTGTTTCTCCGCTGCTTCTTTCTGCAGCTGTGCCAGTGGGGGCGGCGAGGGCACCTTGGCCAGGTCGTGGAGGAAATCCCTGCCGCTGATGAGGTCCCAGGGGGTGTAGCCGAGCAGATGGGTCGCCACTATCATGCCCGAAAAGACGGCAGCTGCTCACACACACACAGAGCATTGAGTATTCTCATCTTGTGTATCTGCCCTGCCCCTCTGTGGTGTGGTGGGGGGTGGGCGAGTGCTCACCCATCCATCCACACCCGACGAGGTCCTGCCCGCTAAGGTAGAGGTTGCGAATGCCCGTGGCCACACGGGGGACCGGGCTGGCCGCCCTCTCGCACGTGTGTCGCAGCCCGTAGGTGCTGAAGCGCTTCAAAAAGTGGTGCATCGACAGTGGAGTCGACACCTCAATGCTGACGATCTTGTCTGTACGCAGTACACGGACAAAGACAGACAGACAGACAGACAGAGAGACAGAGTGGGTGTGGACGTGGCAGCGCAGGTGGTGCATCTTCGGTCTGTCTCACCTTGCAGGCTTGGGAAGTGTCTGGTCAGGGATCTCTTGAACTTGTCTTCCAGCTGCCTCTTCACGTCCTTGTAGGCCGCCGTCCGGCGGGTCGTGTCAGCCCCTCCAAGTGCTGCGATGCAACAGAAACGGACACAGCAAAGTGCGAAGGGATCGGTGGGTCTTTCTGGCTGCTGGGTCGCTGACCTTCATTCAGCTGTTCGAACATCTCTGGTGCGGCCTCCATGATGATCTCGCAGGTGGAAATGCCGGGATGGCGAGCCGCGTACTTGGGGTCCTTGGCGGAGGGGAAGGCTGCATGGCACACACACACACACACACATGGATGGATGGATGGATGGATGGGTGATGTGCGCACGGATCGACAGTCAGCTGGCGGCACGCATGGCTTACAGATCAAGCACCACGCGTCACGGTCGGCGTCCAGCAGGGTATTGCCATACTTGGAAACGAGCACATCGAGACCCTGGCCCTACACGCAGGCAGACGAGACAAGCACATGAATGCCCCATCCACCACCCATCGCGCGACATACATCTCGTTGTTTTCTGTCTCAAGCTGCAGTAAGTACCTCTGTGGGGCCCTGAGGGAATTAGAACAGGTTGTTGGTGGGCAGCAGCAGCTCGTCCGAGTCGCCCCTCAGGGTGACGAATCCGATGACGTTCGAAATGCCCTCGCCCACGTCCTTGACCAGCTTCGCTTCGCTCGCCATGTAGCGGTCCACTTCCTCGCGCGACAACAAGTGGCCCTGAATGCACAGACACACACACGCTGTTCTGTTCCACGTGTGTAGGGTCTTGTGTGTCGCGTGTTGGTCGGTCGGTACCTGCCAAGATGACAAACGTACCAGTGTGGCGGAGAGGCCGACAGAGGAGATGACGCCCCGCCTGCTTCTCAACACATCCCCGCCAGACAGCTCCACGCCCTCAGCCACACCTAATTTATCACACACACGAATGAAAGCAGCGACATCCATACCGACCGATCCCATGCCCAGCCAGCCTTAGCCAGCCTTGTGTGTCGCGTGCGTCCTGCATTGCCTTGCCTGTCTACCTTTGTTGACTAGAATCTTGTCCACCTTGGCCCTCACGAACACGCGGTTGCCGGCCTTGTGAATGGTCGATATGAGCGTCTCGACGAATCGGAGTGGGCCACCCACAGGGAAGTACGCCCCGTGCAGGTAGTGCCTCGTGATATTGGCTTGGACGGTGAAGCTTGCTGTGTTTGGCGCCTCGCCGAAGTCCAGACACTGCCCGGCGAGAATGCCCTCCTCACGCAAATCGCCACCCAGCTCCTGCACCACCTGCACACACACACACAGAGAGAGATGCATGGATGGATGGATGGATGGAAGGGGCGTCCTGTGTAGCGCTGCGCACCTGTCGTGTCGTCTTTCTTGCCCACTTGAGGCCATCCCCGCCGAGCAGCAGCAGCCAGAACCACTGACAAGGACACAGACAGCACCACAAGGGTCTCGTTCGATCATCCCTCCCCTCCCCAGGCGCACCCACCTACCTGCACGATGGGTGAGAATGCTTTGGAGATGGCGACCATCCCATTGCTCTTGGCGGCCCGATGCACCGTCTCCAGCCAATCAGACACTAGCTGGGGGCGCATGTGCCGAGTCATCTCACTCACGAACGCTTCCTTGCCCGCACGGAGCCTGCTCAACCACAACCACATCAACAACCACGACCACACCCATGCGCACACATCGACCCGCCCCGCCCCTCTCCCGTCATCACACCGTCATCGCACCCACCTGATCTCCTGCTCTCCAAATTTGATGATGTCGTACAGCCCCTTGCCGGTGCCGTCCCTGGCCCTTGTGTCCTCATTCTCTCTGCCCATCTGCTGCCACGGGACGGGATGCTCGGCATCTCCGACCAGACGCATGAGCGAGTCTGCTAGCTGCTTGTCGCCGATGTAGTGGATGCCCGTGTCAAACGTAGCCCCTGATAGAGGCAGGACACACAACACAACACAACACAACACAACACGGCACAAGGACACGCAATGGATGGATGGATCGATGGATGGATGAATGGATGGATGGATGGATGAATGGATGGAGAGGTGAATGCGTGTGTGCGCGTGGGCGTACCTTTGTCAGTGAAGACATGGCAGCACCCTCCGGCGATGTAGTGCTGCTCCAGCACCACCACCCTGTACCCGCACTTGCTGAGGGCCGCCGCCAGCCACAGCCCACCCATCCCGCTGCCGATGATGATATAGTCAATGGGGTCTTTCGGCAGCCGGGCAGCCTTGTAGGCGTATCGCGTCATGTCCTCCGCATCGGGCGGCGGCGGCTGCCACTTGACCTTTCGGTAGCCTCTGGGTGCTCGGAGCGAGAGGTAGGACTTGATCACGGCGGCAGACACTGCAATGGACGCTGCGCAGCCGCCGATGAGGAGCCATCGGTCTGAGGCCCAGACGGGCAGACTCACACCCAGGTTCAAGCCGAACGCCATGCTGCTGACTCAGATGTGCTGGAGGGTGGTCGCTTCAGCTTGGCTTGATGAATCAGAGGTCCTTCATTCATCATTGGGACTTCAGTCCTTCGCCGGTCGGCGGTATACAGTGGGTCAGCCGACCCGGGCAGATCTCGCTGAAATGGAGTCGTGTTTGCTTCTGGCATCATGTTCCTCACATGGTGGGATGCTCCTCATGGCGTTATTTGGCGCTCTTCCCCCTCGTTTCCGACTGCGAGCTCATGTGCCAGCTCGCACACGTGGAGGAAAAGTCGCCGTGCCCTCTACTCACCTTTCGGCTGCAGCAGACGGTGCATGCAGGTGTAGATCCAGAGCAGCCACCAAGTGATCACCGACGCGATGCGGCTGCATCTCTCTGCCGCCCTGCTGCTGCTGGCGCTGCTGTGCCTCTCGCAGCTGGCCGTGCCGTCGGTGGCCCAGGATGACGACCCAGAGGTCACCGAGGGAGACGACCCCATGATGGACGATGACATGGGTATTCCCTGACCACACACACAACAGACACAGACAACACAGACACGCGGCACAGAGGCAGGCCGGCAGGAATTGGGTGTGCGTAAGTCACATGCCGCCGGTCTCTGTTTGTTGTGCGTGTCTGTGCGGTGTGTGTGCAGATGAGGAGTATGGCGAGGATGACGACATGCCCTATGACGACGAGATGATGGGCGGCGGCGGGCCGCCTGGCATGGGCGAGGAGATGGAAGACGAGGAGGAGGGACCGAGCGAGCCCGTCCAGACGGTGGACTACGCCAAGCCGGACACCGAGGGGCTGCTGTTTGCCGAGCTGTTTGACGCCGACTGGTCGACGCGGTGGCAGAAGAGCAAGGCCGACAAGTTCACGGGCGAGTGGAAACACAGCCTCAGGGAGAAGGAGGCCATCGTCGGCGACTACGCCCTCGAAGTCGGCAACGAGGTGAGGGCCTCACCCACACACACATTCACACCACAAGCTGTCTGCGCACCGCACCGTCTGCATGTCGGTGGGTGCGTGTGTGGTGTTGGCAGGCGCGTCATCACGGCGTTGCGGTTGAGATCCCCGAGGTGACGAGCAACAAGGACGGCCACTTCGTGGTGCAGTACGAGGTGAAGTTCCAGCGCGAGCTGCAGTGCGGCGGGGCCTACCTCAAGCTCTTCAAACTCGAGAGCGGCACCAAGCCAGAGGACTTCACCAACGACACTCCATACGTCATCATGTTCGGGCCTGACCGGTGAGGCAGGGAGGCAGGGAGGGAGGGAGGCGGGCAACGAGGCAGGGAGGGAAGGAGAGAGAGAGAGGTCTTTCTGTGTGTGGTCAGGTGTGGGACGACCAACAAGGTGCATTTCATCCTTCGCCACCAGAACCCCACCAGCAAGGAATGGTCAGCCCACACCACCCCACCCCACCCCACACACATGAGTGTGTGTCCCTTCGGCTGCAGGTCGGAGAAGCACTTTTCCTCCCCTCCCTCGGTGCCCTATGACCAGCTGACGCACCTGTACGCCCTGCACATCAAGCCCGACAACACATTTGACATTCTCATCGACAACAAAGTCGAAAAATCGGTCAGACTGCAGCAACAAGGAGAGGAAAGGGGAGGGGAGGCCAGCAGACGATGACGCGTGCACGTATTGGCATATTGGTTGGTCGGTTGTGTGGACCTGCGTGTGCAGGGTAGTCTTCTGAAGGACATGGAGCCGCCCATCAACCCACCAGAGATGATTGACGACCCCACAGACAAAAAGCCAGACGACTGGTGGGCTGGGCTGGCTGGCTTGCCATGTCACCACACGAACACGGAGGACTTTTTGTTTGTGTCTCTTGACACATTGTTGTGTGTGTGTGTGTGTGTAGGGTCGACAACCCCAAGATGGAGGATCCCGAAGCTAAGAAGCCCGACGATTGGGACGAGGACGCGCCCAAGAGGATCAGAGACCCTGACGCAAAGATGCCCGAGGTGAGCAAGCGATGAATTTTCTTGTCAAGAGTTGAATGATTGCACGTGGGTGCGCCTGTTGTGTAGGGCTGGTTGGAGGATGAGCCCCTGCAGGTGGCCGATCCGAGTAGCGTCAGGCCAGAGGACTGGGACGATGAGGTAGAGGCACACACAGACCAGACCAGACCGTCACACAATCCCATCTACGAGTCCATCCATCCATCCATCTATGTCGATCATGTGCTGGATGTGTGTTGTGTGTAGGAGGATGGTGAGTGGACGGCTCCTTTGGTGGACAACCCCAAGTGCAAGGTGGGGTGCGGCAAGTGGGAGGCGCCCATGATTGACAACCCCAACTACAAGGGCAAGTGGACACCGCCACTCATCGACAACCCAAACTACAAGGTACACACACACACACAGGCAGGCAGGCAGGCAGGCAGACAGGCTCTTGCAGCAAGACGGATAAGGATGCATGACGTCTGATGTCCAACAGGGCGAGTGGAAGGCGCGACAGATCAAAAACCCCGACTACTTCGTCGACAATGTATGTATGTTGCTGTCTGTGCCCCCCATCGATTCACCCATTATATGTGTCGGTTGGCTTGTGCACATCCATCCATCAGGCCCCCCACGCCCTCTCGCCCATCAACGCAATCGGCATCGAGCTCTGGACCATGCAGGTACGACCACACACACACACACACACACCACATCACACACGACATCCCACTTTGTGTCTGCCTATTGTCTGTGTGCAGAGCGGTATACTGTTCGACAACATCGTCGTGTCCCGCGACATGGCCAAGGCCAAGGCGTTCGGGGAAGCGACGTGGAAGGTACGTGCAGCATAGCAGCATACGTTCCCGAACGACAAAAAAGAGGCCGATGGCGGGGCTGGGCTGTGTGTGAATGTGTGTGTGTGTGCAGGTTCGCCACGACATTGAGGACAAGCAAAGCGGCGCTGCCTCGAGCAAGAAGAAAGACAAGGCATCCTCCTTCATCAACACTATCAAGGTCGGACCCACACCCACACCCACACAGACACACACCCACATGCCGTCTGTCCACTCGTCATATGTGTGTGCAGGAGGGTTTCATGAGCCTGAGCCTCTCCTTCCAGCTGTCCATAGTGGCCATCGCCCTCAGCACCATGATTCTGATGGCCTACGGCTTCGGCCGCCGGTCCGCCAAGCCCACCACCAAGCGCAAGGGCGGCAGCAAGAAGGACAAGGGGGCGGCAGCCTCGAGCAAGGACGACAAGGACAAGCAGGAGGGCGCCGAGGGCGACGACGAGGCGGAGGATGAGCAGGAGGGCGAGGGAGAGGGGGAGGGGGAGGGTGAGGAGAGGGAAGGCGAGGACAAGAAAGACGACAAGGCCAAGAAGGACGAGTAATGAGTAATAAGTAGTCGGGAGGGAGGGATTGCGTAGAGGGAAGGAGGGAGGGAGGGGTTCTGTCAGTTCGCAGCAGTCGGTGTGTTGTCTTGATTGGGTGGGGTCACTTTGGTTTCTCTACCTATGTATGTATCCGCCCGCCCATGCATTCATTCTCATGCGAGATTCTCTTTCCCTCTGTCTCTATCTCTCTCTGATTTCCTGCTTCCCTCATCCTTCCTTTCCCCTTTCCATGGCTGCCCTGCTTGTCTAATGGGTGCTCAAGTTGACTGACAGGGGTGTGTCAATACTCACCCTCCCCCTGCCAATCACACACCCACTAATTCATCGGCAAGCAAGGCGGACACACAGACACACAGACAGACAGACAGCCTCGACCTGCCTTGCCTTGCCTTGCTCTCACTGTGCGCCTGCCTGCCTGCCTGTCTGCCTGGATGCATGGATGGATGGACTGGTTCTCGATAGCACCAGGGCCTTTAATGCGACAGACGTGTGTGTGTCGTGATGTGATCGACGTTAGGGATAGATGGATGCGACAGACATCGGCTATCGTCTGTAGGGGACCGGACCACGGTGTTGCTTGCTTGTTTCTGTCTGTCTTATGTACCTGCCTGCCTCTGCAAACCTACCTGAGTGCCGTACCCGGCCCAGTGGATGGATGGATGGATGGTGGTGTGTATACCTCACTAACTCAAGAGATGATCAAATGCGTGTGTGCATTCGTGTGGGTGCGTTTTGCGGACACAGACGCCGTCCCTGTCTGTCTGTCTGTCTGTGTTTGTTCCCCGTCAAGTGTGATTTGAGTCAGCAGCCATTCTGGCTCACTTCGCGATGCCATCCATCCACCACATTGATTGATGTCGAGTCGACTGATGCCACGCCGCGATAGGTAGGTACAGTATGTCCCAAAAGAAAAAAATGTGGGCAAACAGGCGAGGTCAGCAGCACAACCACGCGTGACAACGACGAGAGAGTGAGCACGTGTGAACTCACGCACCCACCCTCCCCACCCACCCACCCACCCAAAGAGGCATGTAGGCATGCATCCACATGGATCCGTTGCTCGTGGACAGACGTATCATGGACTAACGACAGGTAGGCAGGCAGGCAGGCAGGCAGAGTCAGTGAGCAGATGACTTTCGTCAGAATCGCATCGACCACGTCGCATCAAAATCACCAAACACACGAACACTCACACACCCACATGCACCCATCCGTGTCTCCGTGTGTCCATCTAGGTAGGTATCACACACAGACACATACACACACACACACAGACAAGACAGAGGTAGGGTAGGTAGGTAGGTAGGTCGGTAGGTAGGCACCACGTTGAATTACGTACGTACGTCTACCATGACATGATCACACACACCTACCCTTTGCCCCATGACCCACGGGCGCAACACAGCTAGCTGACAGGCAAAACCACAAGTGAGACTGACAACTTAAACCCTTAAGCCCCTCCCCCCTCACAGACACACACACGCAGAGAGTGACAGATAAAAATAGAGGTAGACACTGAGAGAGAGAGAGAGAGAGAGAGGCGGGGCAGGCAGACAGGCAGGACGAGTGGACGCCACTAAAGCGATCGATCGGCAGGTAGGCTAGGCAGACTAACGGTTTCCGTACGGTAGGTACACAGACACGGTACGGTACGGTATGGGGGGGGGGAGAGACAGACAGAACACAGAGGCGCACAGAAAGACAGATGGGCAGATGGGTAAAAAGTGGCATGGCATCGCACTCACACACACACACACACAGACATGCACACACACATCGGTCAAGGCAGGTGGGCAGGTAGTCAAGGCAAGCCAAGCCAAGCCAAGACAAGACAAGACGAGTGAAGGGAAAAAGAGGAACCTCTCCCTATCCAGAGAGGGCATTGATTGCATCCGTGCGATGGTCGCAGGAGGGTGGGCGGAGACAGACAGACAGACAGACACAGAGAGACACAGGCAGCCTAGAGCTTCACAGACGGGTGATAGTGTCCACAGACGAGTGAGCAGATTGACATCCAGACAGACAGGCAGGCAGGCATCGACATATCAACAGCTGAAAAACGCTTACAAGACATGTATGTATGGGTGTATCCATGTGTGTATGCATGTCACGTCACACGAACGAACTGCGATCCTCCCTCCCTCCGTCTGTCCTTCCCTCCCTCCCTCCCTCCCTGTTACGTGATACGGCGCTTTGCGGTCAGTCTGGTGTGCATGGCTCTGTCTGTCTGTCTGTCTGTCTAGGGCGGGCGGTATGGGTGATGCTCCCGTCTGTTCGGCGAGTGACAAATACCGGCGTCCCTAACGAAACCCCCCTTGTCATGTAGTTAGCTGTGGCAGTGCTGCTGCTGAAAGGTTTGTAGGTCCCCCCCCTTCTCTCTCTCTCTCTCTCTCTCTCTGTGTGTGTGTGTGTGTGTGTCCATGTGCCACCGAGTAGGTAGCGAAGTAATCAAGTGCCTCTCGTCGGCGGCCCGGCCCACCATCCCATATGAGGTGGGGTGAGGTGGGGTGGGGAAGGCGGCGCCTGAGAGAGTGAGTGGCGGGGCCGAGGGCTTGCTTGAGCTCGGGCCGGCGAGGACACGCGACACGACGGCGTCAAGTCAAGAGAGAAGATACACGACCGACACATCCATGCCCTCTGTGACATTCAAAAAGATGACACACATGACATGACACAGACACAGACACAGACATACATAGATAGGATAGGTAGAGACAGACAGATGGGATGCACGAACCCATACGCACAGTAGGTAGAGAGATCGAGATGCATGACGACAAAAGAGCAAAGTCAAGTCGAGAAGCCAGCCAGTAGGGAGGGAGGGATGGAGGGCGGGAGGGGAACGGGAAGGCAGGAAAGAGGTCGATCACGAATTGGCCGTGAGTGACTGGCCGACCGACTGACTGTGGGGGCCATGGCGTCACGACACATACAAAACCAGGTAGGCACAGACAGACAGACAGACAGACAGACGTGCCTCGCCAAGTACCGGTGGGTCTTCATCCGCTCGTTCGGTCAATCAACTGACACACGGCTCACTACGTAGAAGCCCGTACGTAACGTAAACACCAACACCAAAGCACAAGAGAGACCAAAGCAACGGCCGGCGCCCCAGACTCTTCTCTCGCCCTCTCGCCCTTCCTCCCTCTCTCCATCCCTCCCTCTCCGTTCCCCTCCCAGGCACACAGCCACACAAGTATCGCAGACACTCGCTCGTCGATTTGTGGTATGATCAAGACAGACAGACAGGCAGGCAGGCAGACAGGTACAGGCAGCAATCGGCCAGTGCGCCGACCACCAGGCAGACCCCACAGCTGACCCGCTCACCCGCCCCCCTACGTACCTACCGACCCAGGCAAAAGGGGCATGGACCAAGGAAGGAATCTATCTATCTATGAAATGGCAAAAATCTGAATGAAAGGGCCTGGCCTTCCGTCATGCACATACACATACACACAAACGCACACGCACGCACTAGGGCAAGGAAGGCATGACAGACAGGACAAGGCAGGCAAGGCAAGGCAAAGCGAGGTGAGAGAAGGTGAGACAAGGACGAACGATTGCAGGCAGGAAGGTAGGTAGGTAACGTACTTACTGTGCGCATGCAGGTCGTGACATCCGTATGAATTGTGTTGTGTTGTGTTGTGTTGTGTGCTGTGTGTTCCGTTGTCCGTGTGTGGCATGGGATAAACCGGATGGATGCCATCAAATCGATAATAAAGGCCCCGCACCACACAGACACACACGGACAGGCAGGCAGGCAGGCAGACACCCGCACACACACACACACACATGGACATGGACACGGACACGGATGGACGGCAAGAAATGCGATTGATGCGGCAAAAACAGGGGTGTAGGGATTTGCAGATCGAAAGGCAGGCAGAAAGGTGTATGGGTGCGGGGATGGATGGATGGATGGATAAATCAATCAAGAAAAACACTCGTGGACTGATGGAGGGGAGGGGTGTGTGTGTGTGGAAGGGTGGGGCAGTTGGTGAGGTCATCGGACAGGGCGGCAAAAGTGTCCATCCACTGTCCGGAGCGTCTCACGGGGTTTGCGAGACGGCAGCGGACGTCAACAGCTCTAGCTCCTCCACCACACCATCTGACACACACAGCACACACACACACACACAGGTGATCCTCCCTCCACCTGTTTGTGTGATTGTAGACAGACAGACAGACTGACTTACCGATGAGCACTTTGGGTTCCTTGATTGCCCGTGTGTCGGCGCACACGGCGATGGCGAGTTTGTCGACGTACGTCAGGAATGACATGCTCAGCCCCGAACGCATCGGCCGGAAAAAATTGCACACACTGAGGATCTCCACACCTGCAACACAACAAACCACACAAGACACAAAGGGACCAGTGTGTCTGTGTGAGTGAAGGATGGGTAGCTCGGCAGGCAGGCACGTACCGGCAAATCGAATGGGTTGGGCGGGGCCCTTGAGCGACGAGAACATGAAGGACGCCCGAGCCATCAGCCACGGCACCAACTGACACACACAGACAGGCAGACAGACAGACAGGCCGACCACACAAGCGGAGCGCATGCATGCTTTGCTGGAGGGCAGTGTTTCTCGGCCCCTCCCTCCCTCCGGCCCTCACCTTGCTGAATGCGGGGAGGGTGAGCACAGCACGGAGGATTCGCGCAATCTGATGATAAATAAGTCGGAGAAGGAAGGAGCCCACACGTCTGTCCGTTCGTCTGTCCTGGTGACTCTTCGGTTCGGCTCGCTCACCACAGTGACGAGGTATGGTTCGGCGGATGCCTTGATGCCGTCCATCGTCCTCTTGGTGCGCATCAACCGCGTTCGGCTGCTCAGGTTCAAGTCGGTCTCAAACGGGACTATCGATCGCACCACACACGAAGAAGACAACAAGTGATGTGATTGTGAGGTGTGTGGATGCCCTCGGCTTGGCTTACCGACGATGAAGCTCAGTGAGTTTCCATCGGCCTCCGGGACCTGCAGACGGCTGTCGGCCAGCCCGCCACCCACCCCTCCCTTGCACCCACGGTCGCTCCCGTCTCCCTTAGCAAAGGCGCCCAGCTTGGTGGTGTGCGCCGCGGCTATGGGGCTGCTCAAGGCCGTGCTGGCGTCGCTGAAGCCCCTGCTCATCGTCCGGCGCACGCACCCAATCTCGATGTCCGTCCCGGTGTCGCTCAGAGCGTCGCTGCGCACCGACCGGGGCGGCGAGGCCATGGTGCGGCTGTGGTGAAACGAGGCTACCTCTGAGAAGGCCCTGGGGGACGAGTCGTCGACGGTGGCGGCAATGGTCGGGGCTCTGAGGCCATCTGGGAGGTTGGGAGGGCTCTGGGGGAGTGGTGCGAAGGACATGTGTGAGGTGGATGTGCTGGCGGATGGTGAGGGAGAGGAGGCGGCCGGGGGCGGGTCGCGCTTGCCGGACGGGCCAGGCTGGTTTTGCTGCTGCTGCAGCTGTTTGGTGCGGAGGTTGAACATCGACACGCCGGAAATCGCACCAAAACGCTGACGACGAGTGACAGAGTGACAGACAGACAGGCGGATAAGGGTGGACACGAGTGAAGGTACGTGCTCCGGTCCTTGTGAGTGTTTGTGTATGTAGCCACGTACCTGCTTCATGGCCTTGTCGTCCACTGAGTGCAGGTACCTCGATAGGCCCCCGCCGGCAGCTGGGCACACACACACACAGACACCCAGACACACATAAGAACAACACAGCGTCCGTCGGCTGTGTGAGTTTGTGCAGATGTGTACCTACCGGTGGCCAGGACGTCGTTGACAGTGACCCCGAGCACCTTGCTGGCGCGCTTCACCTTAGGGAAACAGTATTCCCTACAAGTAAGAGGAAAAGGGAAAAGCGCATTGATGCGGTGCCAAACCAATCCAATCCACGCACGCCCTCGTGTGCCTGTCAGGTCAGCCTCACACTCCCTCACACATACATACCTGACGTGGAAGGTCCGCTGGTGCGTGCCGTCGTTTCTCGGTCCCCGCCTGAAGGTCCACAGGCGAGTCCTCCTATCCCCCAGCAGTATGGCCTTCAGGAACTTGCCCAAACTCGACACGCCCGTCGCGACCAGCTGCCCGGCTCGCCTTCCCCCAGCCACCCACCGCCACACGCACCGCGGCACCAGCCACGTGAAGGGCCTCACCACCAGCAGAAAGGCCGCCCGCCAGAGTGACAAGACCGCCGTGATGGCCGATGACACCAGACCCCTGGTGGCGGCTCGACCCTGGCCCTGTGTGAGCGATGTCGATGATGGGCAGGTCGAGAGGGATGGCGTGTCGGGCAGATCTTTGCCCATCGGGGACGGCTGGGGGGTGCTGTTGGTGCTGCTTGTGGTGGTAGTGGAAGCGCCGGTTGAGTTGTCCATCTTGTCGGCGTAGAATGCGTCAAAAAGATCGGATCCGTCCCCGAGGGCGTGTGAGACGTGGAGCATGATGGTGAAGGTGTCGGGGTGGCCCGAGAAGCTGATGAGGCCCACCTGCCACGGCGGCAGCTCGGGGGGGAAGGCGAAGTCGTTGAGCCGAGGCGTGATGAACAAGCGAACCGCTTCCTCGGGCGACACGCCCGACGTGTCCAGGGTCACTGACGAAAACACACACACACACACACACGCACGCACGCACACGCACACGCGTGTGGAAGAACGCCTCGGTCCTGATCGTCTGTCTGTCTGTCTGTCTGTCTGTGTGTCTTTACCTTGGAATATGTTGTCTGCCATGCGGAATGAGGGGCAGGGCACCCAGTAGAATTTGTCCTTGTGCAGGACGGCGCGGCAGACGAGTCGGGGGAATGTCACCGCCACACGGGTGAACTGGTCAATCAGCGCCGGGAGGCTGGGCTTCTCGCTCGATGTCAACAGCGACACAATCACCTACAACCACACAGCAGTGCAGACCAGACGTGACACCAGATCTTGCACTCAGGCGCCTTCCTGCCTTGCTCTGTGACTGCTTGACTCAGCTCACTCACCGGTCCGTCATCGAACAGCTCGAACCCCCTGAGCACCTCGCTCATGTGCGACATCTTCTGCACGCCAAGATGCACGCGCTTGGCAGTGCCCCCCTCCCTCTCCTCATCGCGCCCGTCGTCCCGCAGCGACAGCGAAGACTCGGACGCGCGGCTCCGCAGTGACAGTGAACAATCCATTACGTCAGGCGGCTTCGCGCAGTGCTTCGCACAACGGCTGCGTGCTTCGCCTTGCGGTGAGGAAAGCACCTCGCAGCCGCCGAAACGAATCCTTCAACTCGAATCACGAGCTTGCGGGGAGCGGTTCCCCGAAGGATCGGCTAGCGGATCTGCCCATAAGCTGAGCTCTTGTGTTGTCCGCGAGGTGGCGATGAACATGAGAGCGCAGCGGTGCGAGAGAGAGAGAGAGAGAGAGAGAGTCACCTTTTCCCCTGTGCGAGCTCACCTTACCGGAACCGTTTTACGTGTCCCAGTCCCCCTTTCCAGCTCCAGCTCGATACTCCCTCAGCTATCAGCATCTGCATTGCGTTCGTATCGTCTTCCGTCTTCTGATAACATCGCTCCAGAAATGTTTCGGTTCGGCTCCTCGTCGGCCACTACAACGGCATGCGGACCCCTCCCC